TGGGATGAAGTTAAAAGAGCCATCAGGCAGCTGGTTCCACAACCATCAAATCTCATAGAACTGGACAGTGCTATTCATCAGGCCTGGTGTCAGGTTCTTCGCATCACCTTTCAACATCTCGTGGAGTCAATGCCAAGAATCGCCGCAGTATTGAAGGCAAAAGGTGGCCCGACGAAGTACTGATGGGGTGGTCATAATAATCTGGCCACTCAGTGTATAACCAAGAACATTAGTGGAGGATGGTTGCCATTATTTGTTTTTCTTGAGATTTTTCCTGGTTAGTGCCCTTTCTTTCTAATAGCATGTGTTCCCTGGTCAGGAGCTTTTCCGTGTCTCCCACACCCACTTCCTGGCCACAGAGATGGGCTTATAACGTAGGTCTAGGACAGTCTAACCATAGTACCCATTTACACAATTGTTCCAAAGTTTTGGTTATTTGGCTCAAGCTGTGCTAATCAGGATCCATTTGAGTTCTCAGTTTACAATGGGGGTGTAACCCAGCCTTTGGGGCTCCTGCAGAAAAGGGGTGAAAGGAAGCCAGGGGAAGGAGAAAGCCTGTTTGCAGTGAGAGAGAATGGAGCAAAGGGAAAGAAGTAGAAATTTGGGGTGGGCATAGAAAACCTGGGGCGTTACATCTGGGTTCCAATTCCTGAAGCCGTGGTGCCTGCAGCTCTTGATTCTGTGAGCTCTTCTCAAGCCTCCTTTCTTGCTCCAGGAACTAATAAACCCCCCTTTTTGGCTTAAGCCATCTTGAATGGGTTTCTAACATTTGTAACTAGAATTCCAACATAAATTCCACCTATCATTTTAGACAAGAAAACAGAGATTAACTTGCCGAAGGCCACACATCATGACTGAACTATTTCTTTTCTCTTCAATCTATTGGCATGCTCTTGTGAAAGGAAAAAATGAAACTTTGAGTTAGTGTGTTTAATAACCCCCAACGCATTCATAGCTGGTCCCAAGCAGACTTGTGAGTGACTGGGAAAACTGTCATCAGTTCTGAGGGCTGAAAACACACCTCCCAGAATTTGGGGCTACAGCTCTGTTAGCTGAGTGTAGCTGCATTGATGAGTGCTCCACAGTAGAGATATTCTTTATTGAAACAAGGCCCAAATGATGAAATTTCCACACTGAATGATCTCAGGAGTTGAGTGCGATAATTGAAACTAAAAAATAGGTTAAGACATTTTTATAACTGCTTTAGAAGTTGTCAAAACCCACTCAATTTGTAATAGTAACCAGTAATCCACTGTACAAAGAACATATTAGTTAACACCTATAAAACCCCGGTTGTCCAACTGGTGATAGCTAAACAAACTGTAATATCCTTAGATACTACAGACTACAGGGGTATACTGGGTTATTGGTCCTAATTCGTGCTGCCATAGCTTCATATACTTTTACCTTTTGCCCTGTGACTACAGTGCTTCCCACCATGGGCAATCAGCTCCCAGCCGACTAACATGGCTTACTTGGAGAGCTTGTTTTGACGAATTTACAGTTAGAGGGTAAAACGATGCCCACATGGTTTGGCTTCTCTTCTTGTGATTCTGCTACCATTACAGGTGGGAATCTGCACAGGTTAAAATGAAATTTTACCTATTTTTTGAATACACAATATTTTCACATACAGAATTCCAAAGGTACCAAAGGGTATACAACCACCTGGGTCCCTTCCCTGGAGGGAGCCATTTCCTGTGTAAAAGCCATTTCCTATGTAACCTTCCAGGGAAACTTGATCCATACACAAGGGAAGTCAAATAGCAGTATTTCCTGGAGTCAGAACCCAGGGCTGGGGATAGAGGCTTTTGGATCAGGCTGGAAAAGTCCTTTCTGGGAAGATCTGATTCTCTTACTTGAGGATATTTATAATCTGAGCGACCAGCCTGTAGGCAGACCTATAAGTAACTTACTGTTGACCAATTACTAGTTTACAAAGGCACTTGTCATATAGAACTATTGATCTCATTTGAAACTCTTAAAAATGTACTGTTTCCAAAATGCAATCGATATTAGGGTGCACCTGAAAACTCAGAGAGGGAACAGCAGGTAACAAGCACACAGTCGTGGTTTCAGTTTGCGCCATCCCCAAATGTTTGTTTCCTTTTGGAGACAGATTATTCCAATTAAGACCAAACACTGGAAAAACATGGTAAAGGGAATTTTCATCTATTTACAGCAATAGACGAATTAACTGTTTTTCTCATTTTAACTTGTTTAGGATTCAAAGGGAATTTTAAAAAATTCATTTGAAATGGTAAATTACATATTTAACTTTAATTAATTTGTACCAGATTGATATTTTCATCTGCAAAAAATGTTTAACTTTTTTCTCCTAAAAGCATAATGAAATGACCAAAACAACCACTGATCAAATTTAAAAATCTTTCTACAAAACTTAATTACTTTGCTTTTAAAACACAATTATTCATTTCACAAAGATTAACCAAAACACAAACCCTGTCAAAGTTTATTATAATCTTTCACAAAATCAATAGCTTAAACAAAAGACTGCCAATGAATATTTTAATGTAATACCACAATGTAAAAATAGAACTTTAGTTCTAGTGACTGGAATACAAACAGATAAATAATCTTCTTCAAAGGGAAAAAATACTTGAGGGGAAAAAATGGTATAATGTGTAAAGCAGGAAATGTAAATATCAGTTTAGTTCCTCATTGCCAACATGGCATTTATATCCCAGATGAGATTTCGTAATTGATCCATAATTTGCTTCAGCTGTTGATTCTTCTGTTTGAGTTTCTGGAGAAACAAAAGAATTTATTAAAAATGAAATATAGACCATGAAGTTAAAAGACTAAATGTCATAAGTTTGGACTCCAGACAATTAAGCTAAGTATTTCCTTCAAGCAGTAGACCTCAGCCTCTTCTGTCCACAAATATCCACTGAAAAGCATACTGAGTTCTAACTCAGCCCACAGAGGCCTGGCCCCAGCTTCCACCTTCCTTTATTCGTCTACTTCCACCTTCAAAGAAAATAGACTAAATATTTAATTGTTCTAAAACCTAAGTATATAGGTTTGCCAAGAGGCAGTGTAACATAATGGTCAAGAGCCAGACTCTGTGGGCTTCTATTGGCTCCTGCACTCAACGTATGACAGTGGCCAAATTACTGAACCTCTCTCTGCCTCAGTTTCCACATCAGAAAGATGGGGATAATAACTGAACCCACTTCGGAAGAGTTGATATGAGGATTCAATGATCTGATTCACGTAAAGTATTTGAACTGTCAATGCAGGAAGTAAACTATAATACAAGTGCAATGCCTGATGGGACGGGTCTTTCAGAAACATGGTGGAAGTCACTGTTTGCCCAAACGTGAAGCAATCTACTTCTAGTTCTGAAAACTGAGGACCAAATAGCACAGTCCCCGATGTAATCCCTACATCAGGGATTTGCTGGCTGCCCTACATGCACACGGCACATGTCTCTGTTTTTCTGTGTGTGGGTTTCTACCAGACTACAGTTTATAAACTTCTTTTTAAGGATCCTTTCCTCAAATCCTATAAGGCAAATGTCTGCTTGGGTAAAACAAGATAAAAATAGAGAACTTCTGGTGAGTGTTTACTAGCTATTATAATAGAAGCATTACTGTTCAATAACCTTTTGGGAACATTACATTTGGAAATACATTTACTTAAATAATTTTAAAGAAACTATATTAAAATACCTCCACATAAAGTAGTACATGTTCAGTATAAAGAGGCCTAAAATCATTAGTTTTTATATCATTAAAGAGCAAACCAAGATTATGTAAACAGCTCATTTAATTCTAATCTAAAGTTAAAGTAACAGGGAGAAAGTAACTAAAAAGGGGGACCAAGAAATTCTTATTGGAAACAGAAAAGCAATTTACAGAGACTTTAATGTTTAATATTAATTCAATTCATATTTGAAAAGAGAAATTATCACAAAACAATCAGATACAACTTATGACCATGTAATACACAGGGCATGGTGTATAGAAGACAGCACCATAAAGCTTACGCCAATAGTTTTGGAAAAAGACTTGGCAGTATTCTAGTTAGTCTCCTTGTTCAGTTTTCAGATGGCCCACTTCCTAAGTTCTGTTGTCATAAGTATGTGATAGTTATTTAGGCAACGGTGTGTTTCATCTAACCAAACAGACCTAGATAACTAGGTGAGATCACAAATGACTGGATGACCAAGGCTAGGAAATCTTTTTCACCCCAGAGACCAAGAAACTGACATATGTACCAGCAATGAAGGGCTGTGTGAAGCGAGTTATCCTATATAATAAAAGCCTAATATGCAAATGGTCCCCTCAATTGGGAGTTTGACCAGAGAGTGAGGCTGGCTGGCCAACCTTAGGAAGGGAGGCCCCGGCCAGTGGCAGACAGCCACCAGGGGAAGGGAGCCGCAGCCAGTGGTGGCAGCAGGCAGCTAGGGAAGGGAGGTCCTACATGGCAGCCAGCAGCCACTAGGGACCCTGGGCCTCTAGTTTAGAAATATAAATTCTGATATACTTGTTTTTAAAAAATTAGCCTCATTAATTCTTAAAAAATAGTGTAAGAAAACTAAAAATTGTAGTATATTTTCATGGTAATATTCAACTATAGGCAATAGTAAAAAAAATTACACGGCCAACAGTGTGGTGATTGCAGGGGGAGGTGAAAGAGAGTATAGGGGGGGTAAATGAAAAAAAATAGTAAAAAAAATTTTAAGTATGATAGATAGGGTGACAAAAGTAGGTTTATAGTTGTTCGTATGAAAAATAATAATTAAAAAATAACATAAGAATAAATTCTGTGTTTCACATGCTCACAACTATAAACTACTTTTGCACTGGATAGTTTTTCTCAGAGATGCCACAAAGTTATAAATTACAAAAATTAGCATACATGTAAACTACCTAGAGCCAAAACATGTCTGAAACTATCAACAGCAAAGCTGACAGTTCTGCTTATTAGTGGTTAAATTGTAAATCAATTTTCATGACGTGATACAGAATTTAATATATACAATCTTGCCACTGATTGATTTTAACAGAGATTGACAGCTGCTATTAACAAAATCCATCAACTTTGCCTAATTTCTACATTAACAGGTGAATGTGTAAGTATATGCTGTCATGCTATGTAATTCAATATTCATACAAAGGCTGTGACAATTGGTCAAAAATGTTTTAATTTCTAAATACATGGAGTTATATGTCAACTCTGAAAAAACTACCTGCATTATCTTTCAATTTCATTTTACCATCAACAGAATAGTTTTAAGCAAAATTGAACCCATTTCAATAGTCAAAACATACAGTTTTGACCACTTGTTTGGGTATTAGGGCTTATGGATTCCAGAATATGAAAGAAAGTGAAAAGTATTTATATGAGCCAAAAATTTGATGACTGAAACTAAGCCGTCCTGTCTTCTGACGATTTACATCAAATACTGATTATAAACTGTGCTCCAAAGCTTCATGGCATTATGGGAGTCAGTCACACAGGTAGTCAGAAACCAGGCATATGGGAGTCATAGTCACACAGGCAGTCAGAAACCAGGCATATCATGTAGATTCAATAGTAAACACACCCCATTCAGTGTTGTTCTATACAATTTCAAGTTCATAATGATACAGTAATATTTTGAAAATGACTGAATGAAGGTCAACTGAGGGATTTATAAAGCTACTTACTTTATGTGGCTTATTTACATCCCTTGCCTTTGGGGTCAAGTTCACAAAAATTCCCAAGACTATGACCCATAAATTTGGTGTCTAGGTTTTCTTCTGTTTATTTTATTGTTTCAGGTCTTGAATATATTCAACTTTTTAAAAAATCCATTTTGAGTTAATATTTGTGTACAGTGTACTAGTTTCATTTTTTTGCATGTGGCTGTCCAATATTATTTCCCAACACCATTTATTGAAGAGACATTCCTTTTCCCATTATATATTCTTGGCTCCTTTGTCAAAAATTAGCTGTCCAGATAAATGTGGGCTTATTGCTAGGCTCTCAGTTCTGTTCCACTGGTCTGTGTATCTATTTTCCTGCTAAAACCATACTGTTTTGCTTTGCTTTGTAGTATAGTTTGAAGTCACAGAGTGCAATACCTCTGGCTTTGTTCTTTTTTCTTAGCATTGCTTTGGCAATCTGGGTTTTTTTTGTGGTTTCATACAAATTTGAGGACTTTTTGGTTCTATTTCTGTGAAAAATGCCATTGGAATATGTATAGGGTTTGCATTAAATATGTAGATTGCTTTAGGAAATACGGACACTTTAACAATTCTTCCAATCCATGAACACAGAATATTTTCCATTTCTTTGTGTCTTCTTCAATTTCATTTAACAGTGTTTTATAGTTTTCAGTGTATATAGTCCTTAACCTCCTTAAGTTTATTCCTAAGTATTTTATTTTTTGTTGCTATTATATTTATACAGAAATGCAAGATTTTTGTATATTGATTTTATGTCCTGCAACTTAACTATATTTACTGTTTTTAATAGTTCTTGGTAGTAAGGTATTTTGTATTATACAAAGTATTATCATTTTTAGATTATATGAAAGTTCTTTTAAAAAATAGTCAAGCCAAAACCAGTTTGGCTCAGTGGATAGAGCATCGGCCTGTGGACTGAAAGGTCCCGGGTTCGATTCCGGTCAAGGGCATGTACCTGGGTTGCGGGCACATCCCCAGTAGGAGATGTGCAGGAGGCAGCTGATCGATGTTTCTCTCTCATCGATGTTTCTAACTCTCTATCTCTCTCCCTTCCTCTCTGTAAAAAATCAATACAATATATTTAAAAAAATAAAAATAAAAAATAGTCAAGAATTATTTCTAAGCCATCAAATCAGATAAAAAGAAAAATTAAATGAAAAGAGAAATGAAATGTTTAGAAAAAATTATATCTTTCTGAATTTACATGTTTATTTTTAATATAAAATCTTCTATGGTAGAGAACAAACTGTATGTCACATGTGGTACTCTGAAATTATAGTTAACATTACAAAGGTATTTTACTTATATATATGTCAATGCATTTTATTAAAAAAATCCTTTTTGCAGAGAAGAAAAATAAACAAAACATCTATTGTGAATTAATACATAGATTATCAATAGAAACAAAATTTCTTAATAAATGAATGCCTCATCTCTGGACTACCAAACACAATTTATACTTCATGATCTAAATTAAGTTCCCAATCCCCTCCTCATCCCCTACCAATTCTGTTCTTTAGTTTTTTATGCTCATTCATTACTGTCAAACCTGCTGAAAACAGTCTAAATTTTTACTTACCCCTTTAAAAAAAAAGTTTTATAAAATCTATCCATCTTTTTCCTTTTCTTTTTAGTTTTGATATACATTTTTCTTTTAATTTTCCAGTTTTTGTTTTCCAGGTCTTCTTTTTAACTCTGAAATTCACTTTGACATATGGTGTAATATAAAAGCTAACTTAATCCCCCCCCAAAGTTTCTATTTTTAAAGACTAATTTTCCATATAATCCCTCTTCTGTCATATTAAATTCTCATCGACAACAGAAAGACTACTTTTGTAGGTATGATTTAACTAATCTGTCTGTTCTTGTGTCGATATTTCACTTATCATTTTTATACTATGCTTCATCTTGTTTTAATTTTTAATACAAAGAATGCTGATTTATTATTCTTATCAGTATTTTCTTTAATAGTATACTCTGAAGGAAAAATTCCCATCTGGATTTTTATTTGGATTTGTTTTTTGATTGGTATTGCACTCAAGTCTTATTTTTGTGTACTTTTAAGAGAATGCCTATTTGGATTTGGATTGTTACTATATTATAACTATGAAATAATCAAGACTGGCATTTTTAGAGTATTTATTGGCCACATAAGAACTTTATATGTTCTTTTAATTAGTCAAAATTTCTTTTATAAATCTTAATAATTTTAGTCACAAATATCATTGAGATAAATCCTAAGTACTTAATATGTGTTGTTTCAATTGTGAATAAGATCTTAAAATCTAATTGGCTTAATCATTATAAGAGAATGGTCTGATCTTATATTAAGCATTTTTATTGAACTTATTGACTGTAGTTATCAACTGAATTTCTTTACACTTAACAAGCTTGAGCTATAATATATATACAAGTTTAATAAACTTAATAAGCTTGTACATTTTATAATTCCTGCTTCCTAAAGTTTGTTTCTTTTTGTACTGTCTATAACTTCTAAAATAATATTAAATATAGTTGTGTGAGACATTTTATGCTTGAAAAGTGTGAAAAAATGTTGGTTATTTCTCAGAAATAAAGACTAAAAAGAAAAATAGATACTATCTTGTTAATAGTTTTAAGTCTTTAAATCAACAATATTTGAATTTTATCAAACGTCTTTTACATTTGAGAAAAAATTTTCTAATTTAATCTACTGATTATACTCAGAAAATCCTCTTTGTGGTGTATTAATTATTAATGCCCTGTTGAATTCTATTAACTGAAATTAAACTTTCAGGAGCAGGATGGAGGATTTGTACATGAAAGTGTGGAACTGGTAGTTTTATTTATTGTGTTATTGGTTAGGTTTTGGTGAGTAAGCTTGGGCCATGTTCCTACAAGAAAGACCTAATAACTTTCCCTGTTTCTCTATTTCTCATGTAAACTATCTAATCATCTTCTGAACTTTTGAAAATATCAGCAATAGATACGTTCAAGTTTGGATCTTTTTTTGTTGAGTGGGGGTGGGGGAGTTGGGTAAGGTAATGCTGTGATAATTCTCTTGATTTCTTTTTTTAAAATATATTTTTATTGAATTCAGAGAGGAAAAAAGAGGGAGAGATAGATAGAAACATCAATGATGAGAGAGAATCATTGATTGGCTGCCTCTTACATGCCCCACACTGGGGATCGAACCTTCCACCTGGGCATGTGCCCTGACTGGGAATTGAACTGTGGCCTCCTGGTTCATAGGCTGATGCTCAACCACTGAGCCATGCTGGCTAGCCACTCTCTTCATTTATTATTTAGGTGTTGAGACATTCACATTTCCTATTTATAAATTTTTTATCTTTTGTCACTCCAAATATGCTGTATACTAGAAAGCTAGAGTTCTGCCTACAAAGAGTAAATGGGCTGTGACTGAACGTCTATGAAGATCTTCCAAAAGCTTTATGGCACCAATTTTGCAGTCTCTCTTCTGACTCTTCAGCTGAGATTTCTACTTACCTTTTAGTTCTTGGTTGTACTCCAAGTGAGTTAAATTCACCACGCAAACATTTCATGTAATTCTATAATTCAAATTATGTTTTCCAGTCACATTAGACTCCCCTGTAATTGTTATCAATAATTCTGAAATATCAAATGTACAGAATAATCACTCACTTTATTTACTTCAGCAATTTCTCGCCTCTCTTCACTAGCAAAACGAGGTGGGCCAGCCCGATCATCATTCTTTGAGCCATCTTCTTCCACATATGGAATTAGTTGCTGGAAGTTAAAAGTAAAAAATATGACATAAAATTTCCAATTACACTGGTATAGAAATGAGTCATATTAAGGTCAATTTTTATACTTTTAATAATATAAAAAGAAATTTTAACTTAGATGAATGATAGTCTAAAATAACAGTGTGGTAAGTTTATCATTTCAATGCACTCTGTACATTAGTTTTTTGGGTTTCTTTTGAGAAATAGCTGTTATAACACTAGTTGTTACATATAGTTAAGTAATACCCTACTCATTCAACCAGCAAATATTTAGTTGCCAGCCACTGGGTGACACACTGCAAAAATTGTGACACATAAGTTGTGATTCCCACACCTAAGAAATTCATGGACCATTGAGATAGAATAGGCTTTCTTTCATTCATACTAGAAAGAACTTTAGGGATGTGCATGATATAAATCTCATTTACTTGCTATTTAGAACCTAAGTAACTATGCAAATTCCTAGATGTTGTAACTTCTTTGATTAGGAGAAAGTTGTTTGTTTTTAATTTTGTAGGAGAAAAAAATGTATATAGCAGTGAAACTTCTAGCAGAATTATAATTGAATATGTATGGTTTGTGATGAAGTTTATTTGATGAAACTTCTCATAGACGTGATAGACTTCAGGAATCACATAGTCTCAACTGTCTTACATTATTACCAATCCAGGTAAATAGGTGGTATGGCCAGGAGTCATCTGGCTAAACTTCTTCAAATTCCTTCACAGACACAATAAAGACTTACCCACGCCCACACCACTTTCCTCCTTTCCTCTCTCCCAATGCGCACTTGTCCTTTCTCCTGAATACGGTTAGTCTCCATTCCTGTGCTTTTCCTTCTGCCTTTATTACTTATCCGCTTCCCAACCT